AATGTAAAGAATAGAATATTAAACCGATTCAGTTGACAGGAAGAGTTATCTGTTTTACGGAATAAAGATCAATAACAAAGTATTGTAAAAATATGGATTGTAAAGCATGTAAAAATTAAAATTTACATATACTTTCGAAGACTTGGACAATAACATACAACATACATTTATGAATTAAACATCGTTCTGTGGCAACATAAAGTTTGAATTTACTGAGACAAAATGATTTTCTCCAATATCTTTAGCTAGAAAAATAAACTTAAAAGAATCATTTAAAGCTTATAAATTTAAAGAAATATAGCTGGATTAAATATGCATAACGTGCAATATTAAATAAAGGAGGTGAAATATACAGATGAAGAGTAATTGAAATTACAAGGTGTGAATTTTTTCAGTGTTTCTGCTGTTAATTTTTTTAAGCTCCCGTGTTCGGTAGGAATTAATAAAAATCTTAAATTATAATCTGAAACACTTTGTTGTTCGTGAAATATAGATCACAAAATATCATGTATTTTTCTCAGCGTAACGTTTTCTAGCTCGTTGAGGGGATACTGTCTCAGTGATTGTAGATATGAATACAGGGCTGCTGGAAGGTCTCCCTTGAGCTGCTGACAAATTCCTCAGATCTGCCAACATATATCTTTAGAATATGGATGAATTGGTCCGTGCTTAACATAGATCTGTAAATCATTTAAGGCTACTTCTGCAAGATGCTCGTCACATTGCCTGTAACATAAGAATTCTAACATATGTAACATTGCAAATGGGGATATTTGCATGCAAGTCACTAGACTTTGTTTATAGATTAATTCATTGATATAAAAAATGTTTGAATAGAGCACTATATCCTGTGCTACAGCTTTACTAATCTTTATTTCCCTAGTCCGTTCCCGAAATGCCTCGATATCTTTCTCACTGTTTACGTAATGCGAATGCATGATGTATGGTTGTGCAAAGTAAATTTTTGCCTTCTGTAAAACCGATATTGCTTTCATATATCTTAAAGTCTTGTAATAATACATTACAAGGAACAGGATATTAGAAGAGAACCCTAATTTTTCTACCAGTTTCAACATGAAGCTGTATTTTATCAGTTTTATACAAAAGCTTATTTCTAAGTGCTACTTGCACCTGCTATGTAATAAAAGCTGTCTTGGAAGGTTGTTATCTATGAGTATTGCATCCGACAATTTATAAGTTGAGGTTTTTCTATTTTATTAAGTTTTCCATTATTTTTGGGAACTCAAACCAGCTGTTCAGAGTTGGTATAAACATAGGATTATTTGATCTTAGTTCTATAAATAGATTCAAATTGAACACAATTTCTTCATTGCTCCTCACAAATTACATGCATAGTCCAGGATCTACAGAGACCAATTATAATTATTGATCTGAAGGGCAGTGACTGTGTAGTAGTAATGCCATATCCTTCTCAGTCCCATAATCCCAGGAACAACTTCCTTTGAGATTCACCGAATATATTTGTAAGCATGTTGTTTTCAGGAAAGAAAAGTAAGGACATACGCCTTCATACACCTGTTTAAGAAGGAGTTTAAAGCAGACCCAGAAACATTCCAGAAAATTATCTGGGACATCAGATGAGGATTACATTTTGCTGAAGAGCCTGAAATACAGCTGTTTTCATGTGATAAGAGCAAACTTTCTTCTATCCTTTCCTTGATGACTTCTTTTAGAATTAGCTTGAGTAAACCATACGTAAGAAACTGAATGTTGGTTCATTGTGTATACAAGCTTTTGCTCTGCAAGAGAGAACAAAATTCTCCATTCATTTTCCTCATGATTTCCTAGCTTGTGCCCTATTGCTGCAAAGTGACACCCATTCCTGACAATATCATCAACTATGTGAGGACTTGGCCACGATTGACATCTATTGATCCATGCTAGGGCAGATGGTGGCCAAAAATCAGCAAAAACAGCATCGTCAAATTCTACATCAGGAAAGTTCCACTACTACAGGGCCCATGGATATGGCATTTTGGCTACTGATAATGGCGACATATTATTTCGAATGCAGAACTGGATATATATTCTTTTGCCATGCAATGTAAAACACGCTGAATCGATTGGTATTATTGTAACGGCAGGACGGAGCAGTTGGAGTAATGCAATTCCTGGTGGACTCTGAGAACAATCAGATAAAATCAGTGTTTTTCTGCTGTAGAGCTGGCTCTGGGATAAATTCCAAATTACCCGATGGGTTTTGGGCCAGAACATAGAGTCTGTATCGGAATCCACCAGTCTAAATCCTTCTCTTTTACTTCCACTAAACATCACATGAAAATAGCTACGTGGATTAAATAAAGGAGTTAACATTTCAGAAAAATCAGTTAAATCCCTTCTCATGGTAACTCAAAACTCGTATATTCCCACTATTTGACAGAACCTCTCAAACACCAACGGTCATATGTCTTGTATAACCCTCTCACTATAAAGAAAAAGTAGCACACATAATTAAGGATTCCCATTTAATATTATCTAGAACAGCAATACAAGTAAATTTAATCTTCCTTACGTGAAGGGCAAATTGTTAAGAGATGCCATCCTCTGAGACCAAATTCTTTTTGTTTTGTTTTTATAAAGTCACATTTATACTTTTCAAATTAAAAATCCCAACACACTCAACATTGTGGAAATTTCATATTTTATAATAGCGCCGTTATGTCAGGAGAGAGATTAATTATAAGACAAAACAAAAACACACTTTGAAATTTGTCAACTTTCCGGAAGGAAACAGTGATTTTGGTTATTCAATTTTATAATAGCCCGAAATGAAAAAAAATATTTATACATTATACAGAATGTTTCATAACCTGAACTCCGTTTTACGATGTAAATCAAATGTGATTCTCAAACTTTCAAGGAATTTTAAGATGATTTTGGAATCACTGTTTTATTTAAAAATGATATTGTGTATATGAAAAGTTGAGTTCTTACATATATACAATTTCAATTATCGTAATGATGAATTAAAAATGAATCTTTTGATATCAAGTACAACTGCATCATGAGGAAAATTGAACTTATGAATTTTCATATATTGTGATTTGTTAATAATTATAACTTTTATTCTGTACACAAGTACAATTAGGCTGATATTAAAAAGAAGCTGGAGTTCCTTATTGACAGTGTCTATGAAGTTTTTAAGTCTTTTAATTTTAAAGTCTATTAGCAGACCTATGTTCATGTTAATGGGAAATCAAGAAATCTATCATGTAAAGCTTATTGTCTGTCATTGCTACCATATACTTTTTCTTTAGGGTCCGTGTTTTTTTTGCTCTTTAAAGTGGGCAAATCACTTGGGATGCTTTCCTGTCTGTTATTTGTCTGTCTGTAATGCTTTCGTTTCCACACGATATCTCTGAGATTCCTTTGGGCTTTCGCTATGACATTTTGCATTGCAACTCACTATGGAGTAAAGAAGTACCCTATTGATTTTGAGGCTAAGGCTCAAGTTAAGGTTATTAATTTGCAAATTCTGTCTAATATAACACTTCTATTTCCGCGAATATATCTCAAATCTTTTTGCATTTGCAATGGAATTTTACAGAACAACTCCCTGTGGCTTAAGGAAGACCCCTAGTTATTTTGAGCAGGTCAAAATGTTAAAGTTCAAGGTCATATATATATATACATTCTGTTTGTGTATAACACTATCGTTTTCGGGCGATATTTCAAGAGAATTTTGAGCTTTTGCATTGTGAATTTCATACTAAATGTCCCTAGGACCTCTCTACCTTCTATTACATCTATTAGAACTGTTTAATGAAAGTTAAATTATACACCATGCATTGTGTAAAATTTTTGACAATATCGAACGTGAATATATACATGTATGTGTCTTCATCTTTGCATATAATTTGCGTTGAAGTACAGCAGTTCCGTGGTGTATTGGTACACAGGAAACTAGCATATGATATTCCACACCAGTATCATATGATTCTCATATGATTGGTTTCATATGAGAATCATAGAAAAAGGGCATCATATGTGAATCATATGAAGCAAATCATATGATTTACATATTATCCATATATATATGCTAATTATATGAAAATAACTACATATGATTTTCATATGAATGATTTAAGTGTGTTTCAAGCCATTTACATATGAGAATCATATGAGAAGGGTGTCATATGCAAATCATATGAAACACTTATGTGTTTTTCAAGCCATTTACATATGAGAATATATGAAAATACATCATATGTAAATCATATGAAACACTTGTGTCTTTTAAATATTTTTCACATTCTTGTACACATTTAAAAATCAGATATTTCTGCTTTAGATGAAAATTCATTACATTACAATGATCTCTCTTCATTGGTTATCTTAAAATGCTTACACAACTTTTTTAATAAAATTATTTTCATCAAGAGAAATAACTTATTTTTCACAGTGTACATTCTAAACAAGAAAATATACAAGCAAGTCAGTAGCATTTGTCGATACATGTATTTAACATATTCTAGGATTAGTACAAATCATAAGATTTCAGCAAAATGATTTAGTAGTTAAACATGCATACTGTACATGTACAAATGAATAACATAATTAGTTCATATATAAAAATACCATATGACATGAAAGTGTCCAAAGCAAAATTGAAATATCAGCAATAACATTTGTCATGTACTGTGGTTTCATCAATTTTCGTTGGCATCAATTTTCGTTGATTTTGTAAAACAGACGTTTTCGAGGATACGTAATTTCGTGGAACAAAAGCATTGTCAATACAAATGAATGTCATATTTCGTATTTCAATGAACATTTGAATTCGTGCATGTTCCTGCTCAACAACGAAATCCACGAAAATTGGTGTCAACGAATATTGATGACAAACCACAAAGTATTCTCTATTTAAATTTATGAAAAATCAAGTTATTGATTATTCCAGCATATATATAAAGATAATATGAAATTTTCACAGCTCAAATTCAGAAAAGATTGTGTACATCCTCCCCATTTCATAATTATTATATTTCCTTGTTCTTTTTCCTTCTGTATCTTTCAATTTTTTCAGTTGTCCTCCCTTTGATCTTCCATGACCATTTTGAAAATCTCTTTGAACTGTACCGTACCAAAAATGAATATCCACCACCTCTCCTCTTCCTGAACAATTTCTTTGTGGCACAGAATGGTCTCTACAAAAATTTCAAAAGTAAAAATAAAAAAATTCTTAAATTCTATGAGTTATAAAAGTTACTTAGGTATAATCAGCAAACAAATGTATGCCCAATTCACTGACACAGATATGATACAGGATAAAACTAACGTTATATATGTTATACTAGGTGTTTTGAGGAATCCTATGATGTAATTTGCAAAACAATTACACTATTGAAAGATATGCTTCATAATAAAATCATAAAAAGCAATTTTTTTGTTATTATGACAATTAAATTTGGAATGTTCAAACAGTATATATTAATTCAGATTGTCAATAAATTAAGAAGATTCAGATACAGATACATGTATATTATTTTTGGACAAAAACACTACAGACAAGTAGACAGGCAGAAAAACAGACATTGTGATTCCAAGATATCCCAAACTTTTGGGAAGACTATAACAAAGTTTATTTAACAGTGTGTATTTACCTTAACTTTGAAGCAAGCGTTGGATCTTGGGATTTGTTCTTTATCTTATGAGAGGCTGACTGTATATTGAACCTGTAAGACAAATACTCATAGTCTCACACAGTAGATACTTTCTAAGAATACATTTAATTAAAACTTAAACTATTAAGAGAGAGTACAAGTTTGTAGGTTCTCTATGGTCTTAAATATATCTAACATTTAACCCGAAACTATAGGCACTAGTGTTTGGGGGAAAAAATAATTGTCAGTCAATGAATACAAAGATGTAAATATTCAATGGATTAGCTAGATGATATTCTTTCAACATACATGCACATGTATTTATAACGTCACTGTTATAAATTTTTAGTTGAAATTCAAAAATCCAATTTATCCCCCCTCTCCCCAAAAAGTTATTGTATACTACATAGTTTCATAACCTTTACAGCCAGCAAAATCTAATCATACTTTGCATATTTTAAGTGCACTGGATTAAAATTATAATGTAGAATAAAATTTCTAGAGTATTGAGTTGAGTTGAATTTATTTTTGATGAAGCCATATGCAAACAATGTAGAATTATGAAAGAACAAAAAAAAAATAAATAATAAAGAAATATTTTGTCATAAAGAGACATTACAGATACTTTGATTTTTTATTGCAAGTATTTATTTTTACCTTCAATATTGTGATGATGCAATCATCTGTCAAATCAGCTTCAGGATCAATCGCCAGTCTTATCAGCTTCGGGCTCTTTGGACTGAAAAAAAACAGCACTGTGACACTGAACTCAAGTTGCCGAATGCATCTATAGCCATAAAAACAAACATTTGTCATTAAGTTGAAGAAGGAATCCGGACTTGATAACGATCTCAAAATACATAACGCCATCTGACATACAAGGTTTCTACTTTCACTTTCATATCAGTAGGTAACAAAAGAAAAACAAATTTTGAAAATTAGTAATGCCTTTAGCCTAACATGCAATGTTTACATTCATTCAGAAACAAATTTTATCCAAACTTACTTACAGATCACGAACGTTAGGTTTACGAGTCGCATGTGAGTATTGAAGTAATAAGAATGGTATATAGAAAGTTCATATGCACCATAATGAAATGGATATTGAAACAATATGAATCAAAAGTCTTTAAAATAAGAGATCACTTGCCTTTTCCAAACACCCAATACGTCTGCTGCAGCAGTGACGTCAAAAATGACGTATATTTTCATCCGGTAAAAGACAAAACCGTCCCGGAGAAAAATACGGAATTATTTTAATTTTACTTAGCCAAACCCAAAAGATTTAAAATGAAAAGCAAATTAATTTATTCTTTATCTATTTTGTCTGGGAAATACATTATAACAGGAAAAAATATGTGAAAGGTTTTTTTAGAAGGAAAAAGGGGGGGGGGGTAGGGTAAACAGAGTAGAACTTTACATATAATTAATTACTAACAAATTCTTTTGAATTAATGTACATTTAAATTTATCTTTTGATATATATTATTGAAATTGCAATTTTACTTCAGTATAACAAGGACAGATAAGTGAACTGTTCAACACTGTTTCATATGATTCTCATATGATCACTGTTTCATATGATTCTCATATGATCACAGTCAAAACATTTTACCTGAGTATAACAAGGACAAACTAGTGAACATTGTTTCATATGATTATCATATGACCAGTTTCATATGATTCTCATATGATTATTGTCAGAATATTCATATGATTCTCATATGCAGGATCTTTCATATGAGAATCATATGTATATTACTTCATATGATTTACATATGTGTAATCATATGATTCTCATATGATTTGCCACATATGATTCTCATATGATTGTATATACATATGATTCTCATATGATCCACATATGATCCTCATATGAAAGGCAATGCATATGTGGATCATATGTGGCTAAATTGCCTATGTATGTCTCCCGCTTCACATGTGAGAGGTCCCGGGTTCGATTTCAGGACGATCCATTTCTTTCCGTAGTACTTTTTTTTTTTTTACTAAATTATAGTATTCAGCATGTGAAATGAAATATTTTTGAGGTCTAGCTTGTGCAAGCTCGTAAAATCATCATTACCCTGTGATAGACATTCCATATAAAAAGAATCTTCTGTACACATAATTAAGAATAAATAATGAAATCTTAATATCCATATTGACATATTTTATTTGCTTCAGTAAACATGTATACATTTAATAATTCTACAAATTCAGTGAGGGAGATCCCCCCTCGAACTGCGCATGGTTTACTTTTTTCCGGAAGCGGGAGAGACAAATTCTGTGAATTAGCTTGTTTTCTTTGCCCTGTATTTACGATTTGTATTTTTTACAGTATGTGAGATTTTTCGTTGTTTATACATGTAGGCT